AGGAGGGGGGTGTCTATTTTTGACCCATTCAGGAAGGCAATCTGCTGCTTGAAGTTGTAGGATATTCCTCTTTATTTCCCATGCTGTGGTTATATGCAAAGGCACAATGAAGGGGGAGGGGAAGGCAGAGTGCCCAGACCCCCCCCCACCCTTGGCCACAGACACTACGTATTCCTGTGCACTTTGCGCCCTGACCTCTGCAGCTGGGGGTGCCCTTTGCTCCCCGAGCTTCTGAGGCACAAGCCCAGAGTGGGGCAAACATGGGACTATAAAGGGATGGGGCCAAGGCAACCTCCTCCCCATTAGGCTGCTGCCTGGGGGTCCCAGTGCCAGTGCCCAGTAGTAGTGCTAGGCCTGAACGGGAGGGGCTTCCTCTGAGTTGGCAAGTGCCAGGCCTGGGTGGGAGTGCTCAACGGTGGATCAGTGCAGTTGAGAGTTCAGGGCTTGGAGCCACCAGGAGCCAGGGCAGAGCCAGAGTCAGGTGATGCTGGGAGCTAGACAGCAGAGACTCCTGAATAGCGGTGCCTCCCATGGGTAGCAGGAACTGGGCACAAGTTGTGGGGAGGTGAGACTGGCACAGCCTCTGTGGGGAGTCACCTCCTGCTCCCCTAGGACTCCTCACACTGCCCCTATTGTCTCCCAGTTTTCCCCCACTGCACCACAGCACCCTACCCCCCACCCCTGCCTCCCCATGTCTCTCTCCACCCCCAGCCTTCTCTTTCTTCTGGGACTCAGCTCCCCTGGGCCACTGTCCACCTCCTGCACACCTTTTTGGGGTGACTTCTGCTACTTGGCAGGTAACCTGAATTCCCTCCTTAGGAAACCTCGGGTTGCACCCCTATTTACATGACACGAAGGATCTTCACTCAAACTTCAAGAGGGAGCTTAAATCGGTCATCTCTGCTCACTCTCTCATTAGGTGTTAAATATTTGTAAACTTGAAATTCTTGGCATTGTCTCTGTTCCACCGGTTATCTCTCTGCCCATCGTCAGTGAGCCAGCCCTGACCCAGAGGGTCTCTGGCCCTTGCCCAGTTTCTGCCAGCTGTCTGACTGAGGCATGCTGTAGGACTGGGGAGTGGAAGGAGAAGGTGGGATGGGATTCTCTCCAACTAACTTGAAAAAGAGAACATGGAAGCAGTATGGAACTCCTTAGAGGTGTTTGGCTCACCTCTAGGTGACAACGGCAGGGCTCCCCAAACCCAAATGGAAAGGATGCAACCTAGTAGTCCAGCACCAATAATATAAAGGACTCTTGGCAACCGCTGCTACTTGAATATCCAGAAACAGCTGGGCATCCAAAAATCCCTCGTTTGTGAATCTCAGTAACCAAAGATGGGCATAGACCCATGCAATCATGTCTGCTACCGGGGTGCCACCAGAATTTTCTTGAGGAGGCCCAAAGCTCTCTATCCTCTGTCCTGCACTCAGCCACAAGCTCTCTCTCCCCTGCATTCTCCACATGCTCCCAGCCTCACACTACCTCCGCTGCTTTCCCCACACTCAGCCCTGAGCTCTCCACCTACTGCTCCCCATATCCAGTCCTGAGCGCTCACACTACCTTTGCACCCAGATCCACACTCTCCTCTGCACCCAGCTGCACACACACTCCCCTCCACCCCCGCTGCCACCCGCCCAGCTCCAAGCTTTCCCCATTGCACCCAGCCCCACGATCTCCCCATCCCACACCTAACCCCATGCTCTTCCCCTGCACCAGGTCTGAGCTCTCCTGTCTGTCCCTACTCCACAACTAGTCCGGAGCTGTTACCCAGAGAGGTGGTCAGGCTGAAGAGCACTATCCCCACCACCAAGATTGGATGTTTTTCTGAAAGATCTGCTCTAAGAATTATTTTGGTGACATTCTGTGGCCTGTGCTATACAGGAGATAAAGCTAGATGATCCAAATGGTACCTTCTGGCCTTTGAATCTAGGGGCTGGTCTACACCCATCCGCTAGTTCGGCGGCTGGGGATCGAAGTTCTGGGTTCGACTTATCGCGTCTGGTCTGGACGCGATAAGTCGAACCAGGAAGTGCTCGCCGTCGACTGCGGTACTCCAGCTCGGCGAGAGGAGTACCGCGGAGTCGACGGGGAGCCTGCCTGCCGCGTGTGGACCGCGTGTGAATCGCGGTAAGTTCGAAGTAAGGTATGTCGACTTCAGCTACGTTATTCACGTAGCTGAATTTGCGTACCTTACTTCGACTTGGGGGGTTAGTGTAGACCAGGCCTAGGAATCACCAGGGGCCAGGCAGTTCTGGGAGCCCCAGACCCCATCCTATTTCTGCTTCCCCATGAAGCACCAAAAGCCCATATCTAGTCACCCCACCCTCCTGTGACTGGGGGTTCCCAGTGTCCCCTGCTCTGCTTGTCCCTGGGGACTGGGGATGCCCAGTGCCCATGGGCACCGGAAGAACTGCAAAGATTTTTTTGGGGGGGAGGGAAGCAGGTGCATGGGGTCACAGTGTCACCCAAATTTGGCCCAGCTACTCCCCTTCCCCCTGTCCTGTTGGAGGGGCAGCCAGGTCAAATCTGAATGAGCGGTGTTGCAACCTTGTACACGGGGTTGTAGTGCCATCTGGCTACACCCCTGTCATGATGAAGGAGCAGCCAGGCCAAATCTCCAGCTCTGGTCAGGGGCCAAGCGAGGGCCTCCTCCACTCTTGGGGAACCCCTGGCTGCTGCTATAAATTCTGCTGTTTATCTAACTTCTTCCTATGCCCTATCGGCATTGCCTTGGCCTTATCTGAATTTTGTCTCAGCCAGTTAGCTCTCATCTATGTCACCGTTTCCATGAAACATGGACGCAGGGCAGCCCATACTGCCTCATGAAACCATCTAATGGACTCAAATATACATAGACACATGCTTTAAAAATAGTGAAACTTATATATAAGACTGTAGCGCAAAGGCGTAACATTAAACAAGATTAAATGAGTTACAGTTCCTCAGCCACACTTACCCATCTTCCCTGCTGAACAGAGGGTTAATATTTGTACTCCTTATTGATTTGCACCTGTCATGCAATTAGCCCACAAAATTACAGCAGCCAACCCACTCTAACTATAATTCTTCCTAACTAGCAATTGCTTTTATCCTGTACATACCACGTAACCACATAGAAAGTCCTAATATTTCAAGTCTTTGTAGGCATAAATGTGTAACTATTACAACTTTTAGGTACATGATGGGTGCACAATACTTCGAATACCAAGTGTTTGAGTACTATTATGTCATAGAGTAACATAAGAACACAGCACATTTTTTTTCTTCTCAGAACTATGACTACAGGATAAATCTCCAAAAAAGAATTATTGATACTTTTTTGATTCTTTAATGTCATCGTGTATAGGTTAATTCCCTCTTCTCTTTCATGAATGTAAAAAATCCACTTCTGATAACCCAGAAGCCATTATCTATTTAACTGAACAGCTCTCTCCCTTGATACAAAAAATATTTACACAGAGGAAGATTTAGTTTATGTTTCCAACACTACACTGTGTTTTCTGTATCTCTGTTGGGGAGGAAGAAAGCCTTTTGCACTTAAAATATGGAGCTCCTAATAAAAATGAAAATGTTCTTTGAAATCTCTGACATGCAGAAAAGCTGTACGTGGTTTATAAAAAAAAATCAAATGTTGAGAGAAATGAGGTAGGTCTGGAAGATGTTTGTTCCTCTAGCATATGTCTTACATTCAAAAACTTTAAGTATTGAATAGAAAGAGAATGGAAGAATTAACTGCACCCTATGATCTGCTAGTAATCCAACAATTCTTATGAAAGAAAGAAATTGTAGTAATCTCGTATTTCATATACGCAACAACAGGGCATTTTAACTTTCTCAGTTTCTGAGAATGATTGATGATTTTTCTTATGAATGTTTTTCCTACCTATGTAATAAAGGATCATCTGCACAAGGGCTATAGGGATTATTCCATTTTGTCTTCAGAACAAATGCAAACACACAGTTATGCTGTCCACAGCCTTAGAATGATGTATGATCTGGCCTTTTGGAGAGAGAGAGAGTGTATGAGAGTGTGTGAGAGAGTGAGAGAGATCTAGCCTTTTGAGGTAGGGGTGTGTGTGTGTGTGTGTGTAAAAGCAGTGGTTTTTTTAATCACATCTCTAAGGAGTATGATCAGCATGAATATTAAATTACTGTTCCTTACTGCAGGGTATCTTTTTGGAAAGCTAAGACTGTCTTTCCGATATTTCAAAAAAAAGAAGCTCTATGCCAAATTGGCCTAAGGAACAGTGAGATAATCTGGTTTGACAAACTTGTGATTGTTTTTTACAATCTTGGTTCACATTCATAAAAGTAAAGAGGATTGCTGTCCTATTGGTTTTTCTGTGTCTCTGATCTCCATCATGTGCTCTCATAATTAGATCACCCGGAAGAGAAAATAATTTATCTTGCAAAGCATCCACATTCAGCCAATTCGATTGCCAGGGCCAAAACCTGCTGCATTAAAATAAATCCCTACATCAAATATACTGTTTACTTCTGACTATGGATGGGAGGTAGTGGCCGGGAGTGAGACAGAGAGTTGATGGGAGAGAGAAGAAATAGGAAAGGCTGTTTTCCTGAGATGTCATTCTATATATCATTATTATATATTATTTGTAGCACCTAGTGGCTACAACCAACACTGGGGGCCTATCTCTTTAGGCAACACATAGAAGGAAACAGTACCTGCACTAAATAGCTGATATCTTGTTGTCTAAAATCTTAATAAGTTTTTAAACCCTTGGAGAATGAAGCTTGAGTCTTTGGGATTTTATCTCTCTCAGTGTTTTTTACACAGAGCACTCAAAGTTAATGTTAACCAGATGATTCTGTAGTGAAAATGCATTTCACATTTAATAGGGTGCTAAAGCTTGCAGGCCTTTTCAAGGCTTCTAGAGACCGTATGGAAAGTTCTGACCACACAGTTTTGTTATTTTTAAAAAGCTCTTCTTGCTCTGTATAGGTCTTATACTTTAAAATGATGTCTCTTTTTCCTGTAGGTATGTCAGCAGCCAAGCTGCTGGCTGAATCTGGGCTTAGTGTTGTGGTTCTAGAGGCCCGTAACAGAGTTGGAGGAAGGACTTTCACGGTTAAGGTAAGTGCTTTTTGACAGCAGTAACACTTGATTTTGTGGGCACATAGTGCCACTTCTGCCATTGCCAAGAAATGGGCTAAGGATAGGAAGAGGTTCTGAATAATGTGGATCTTCAAAATGGATATAAATGTAAAGGTTGCTTATTAAACACTACATCTCATTTAGATTACGTGGCATGTACAGTGGTTGCCAATGTGCTTAACATATATCAGACACTGAATTTGAAAATATTCCCTTCCTCTTTCACATACAAGTTAGACTTCTGTCCATTGCAGAGGAGAGTCAAATCATTATTACTTTATATACATGTGCCGGTGGAAGGAAGTTGCCAGGCCAATACAATATATTGATGAGCTAGTTCTCATTGGGTATTGTTATGATGTCAGAAAATACAGAGTTGCTATAGATGCCGTACGCAGCCAGGATCATATTGTAGAAAGATGTATGTTTGGAAGAACCAAAGGTGTTGTTTTAGGGCAAATGGGCACTCTTTCTACATGGGTACAATCCAATAGAAGATGAAAACTTTCACAGGTCTGTGACAAGAAACAATCAAGGCTCTTGAATATTAATGTGATAGGCTCTTCATTACAGCTCAGAGGTTTCTTTTAATGCCATTTCCCTATAAGGTTGTCTGGAACAAAACTATTACAGAAATGTACTGTACTTTGTTTCCCAACTACATTGGTTGCCATTAACAAAATAAGCATTTAACTGAGATACCACACTGTGATGTACAAATATTGCAGCTATTAATCTAAATATAGAGAGATGCTTAAGTATGTCAGACACTGCTGTGTGGTAACTGGGGATAAATATTAGTATTCAATAGCAACCATTGTACTAGAAACCCCAGCACATAAACTACATCCTTCTATGACATTAAAAATACTTGATTTAAAACACTTGCTATAAACAAAATCGAACAGAATTATTGTCTTGGGAAATCAGCCTGCTAACAATAGTATGTCTCTCTTACTTTTTGCTTTCTTCCCAAGTGTATCTGATGATGATCAAAGTTCTGCCTGGAGCTCCTTCACTGCCAGTCACTAATGCAGCGGTGTTACATGTTCACACTGTATTATATCCCAGTCCTATGGTGCTGGAGAAGGAATTATTGTTTTCAAATACTCCTAGTGAGGTGCTCAGATGCAACAGAGCTAGGGGCCGTGTAAGTATCTAGATAGAGACGGCAAGCTTTGCTACCAGATCGATTTTCAGTTTCAGTATTAATAGAGGAAACCTTCTGCAAGGATTGGGGGAGCCTCTTTTTCAGTACAGAAACACAGTACAATATGGATTCTGAAAAGGTAGGGATAAATTTTTTTTAATGGCCATTTATTTAGATTTTAACATTGCATCTTGTATGCTAAGAACCTCAAATTATTAAAAAGACAATAGGGAAAACTATATTGAAATACTGAAAATAATAATTATCAAACTGTCATGACAGCATTACCATGAGCTCACAGTTCGTCACTGTGTAATAGTCCTCTATGTCTCTCATAACCCTCCTCATCAGAACTATGTGCTTGGTTCCCCACTGCTTTGCACCTTGTCTACTCATTGATATTTGGGCACGACTGTGTTAAGGCGTGGAGAATTGTAATTTAGCAGTGTTTGACACTCACTTTGCACCATTGCACAAGTGTAAATAACTACATAATGTAGACCGCAGTGGAGAATCAGGCGCTAACTTTCTTTGCTCTGGCAGGAAATGAACAGTGAGACAATAGGGCCTCTTGAATTCTGTTGTTGACTCGATCCTGTACCTGTTTGAGTCAATGGAGTTTTGTCATTGACCACAATGGGTGCAGGACAGAGGTCGTTGAGGAGATTTTGCAATATCTAAGACCACCTTCCAGTTCCTAGAGCTTTCTGTTGCAGACCATCCTCTAGCCTTTCTAATTCTTGCCATTTTTCTTTTGACAGAACAAGCACGTTAACTATGTAGACGTTGGTGGAGCGTATATAGGACCTACACAAAACCGGATCCTCCGATTGGCCAAGGAACTGGGTATAGAGACGTATAAAGTCAATGTAGCAGAGCGTCTTATCCATTATGTGAAGGTAAGATTTAAATCTTCTTTTCTGCACACAGCTAATGAGAATGTTGAACTTTGAAAAGTACTGGCATTTGTAAAAAGAGTCCTGTCTAAAGTGCCTCTTTGGTAGTTCAGTATGCATTTATCTGTAGTAGATATTGCTTTTCCATTTTGATTTATTGGCAATTGAAACAAAGATTTTCTTTTTTAAGTGTAAAAATGTAATAAGAAAAGCCAAAAAGGAGTTTGAAGAACAGCTAGCCAAAAACTCAGAAGGTAATAGCAAAAGTACATCAGAAGCAGGAAGCCTGCTAAGCAACCAGTGGGGCCCCTGGATGATCGAGATACAAAAGGAGCACTTAAAGACGATAAATTCATTGTGGAGAATCTAAATGAATTATTTGCTTCAGTCTTCACGGCTGAGGATGTTAGGGAGATTCCCAAACCTGAGCCGTCCTTTGTAGGTGACAAATCTGAGGAATTGTCACAGATTGAGGTGTCTCTAGAGGAGGTTTTGGAATTAATTGAAAAACTTAACAGTAACAAGTCACCGGGACCAGATAGCATTCACCCAAGAGTTCTGAAGGAACTCAAATGTGAAATTGCGGAACTATTAACTATGGTTTGTAACCTGTCCTTTAAATCAGCCTCGGTACCCAGTGACTGGAAGATAGCTAATGTAATGCCAATATTTTAAAAGGGCTCTAGAGGTGATCCCGGCAATTACAGACAGGTAAGTCTAACGTCAGTACCAGGCAAATTCGTTGAAATAATAGTAAAGAATAAAATTGTCAGACACACAGAAGAAAATAAATTGTTGGGCAAAAGTCAACATGGTTTCTATAAAGGGAAACCATGTCTTACTAATCTATTAGAGTTCTTTGAAGGGGTCAACAAACATGTGGACAAGGGGGATCCAGTGGACATAGTGTACTTAGATTTCCAGAAAGCCTTTAACAAGGTCCCTCACCAAAGGCTCTTACGTAAATTAAGTTGTCATGGGATAAGAGGGAAGATCCTTTCATGGATTGAGAACTGGTTAAAAGACAGGGAATAAAGGGTAGGAATAAATGGTAAATTTTCAGAATGGAGAGGGGTAACTAGTGGTGTTCCCTAAGGGTCAGTACTAGGACCAATCCCATTCAACGTATTCATAAATGATCTGGAGAAAGGGGTAAACAGTGAGGTGGCAAAGTTTGCAGATGATACTAAACTGCTGAAGATAGTTAAGACCAAAGCAGACTATGAAGAACTTCAAAAAGAACTCACAAAACTAAATAATTGAGCAACAAAATGGCAAATGAAATTTAATGTGGATAAATGTAAAGAAATGCACATTGGAAAAAATAACCCCAACTATACATACAATATGATGGGGGCTAACTTAGCTACAACTAATCAGGAAAGAGATCTTGAAGTCATCGTGGATAGTTCTCTGAAGACGTCCGCGCAGTGTGCAGCGACAGTCAAAAAGCAAACAGGATGTTAGGAATCATTAAAAAAGGGATAGAGAATAAGACGGAGAATATCTTATTGCCCTTATATAAATCCATGGTACGCCCACATCTTAAATACTGCGTACAGATGTGGTCTCCTCATCTCAAAAAAGCTATACTGGCATTAGAAAAGGTTCAGAGAAGGACAACTAAAATGATTAGGGGTTTGGAATGGGTCCTATATGAGGAGAGATTAAAGAGGCTAGGACTTTTCAGCTTGAAAAAGAGGAGACTAAGGGGGGATATGATAAAGGTATATAAAATCATGAGTGGTGTGGAGAAAGTGAATAAGGAAAAGTTATTTACTTGTTCCCATAATATAAGAACTAGGGGCCACCAAATGAAATTAATGGGCAGCAGGTTTAAAACAAATAAAAGGAAGTTCTTCTTCACACAGCACATAGTCAACCTGTGGAACTCCTTGCCTGAGGAGGTTGTGAAGGCTAGGACTATAACAGGGTTTAAAAGAGAACTAGATAAATTCATGGAGGTTAAGTCCATTAATGGCTATTAGCCAGGATGGGTAAGGAATGGTGTCCCTAGTCTCTGTTTGTCAGAGAGTGGAGATGGATGGCAGGAGAGAGATCACTTATGTTCTTAATATGTGTAAAATATATTCAGTCCACAGGTGCTGGGGGGAAGCAAATGGCCATTGCCACCCTCCCCCCTTTAAACAAGGGGAACCATGCCTCCCACACACACTTTTGAGAACCTGACCTCAGCAAGGGCTCCACCAACCCCTTTTGGCTCCTGACTGGAGATGGGTGTAGTAACAGCAGCACCCCTCCTCTATTGTCATGATAGAGGGATGGCCATGCCAAATTTGAGTGGCATTTCTACCCCATGTTTCCTCCCCACTTTTGATGTCCTTCCAGCACCCATGATTCAGTCAGACTGTTGCAATTTTAAGACAGGACACATTTGGTACTTAATTATTTTTGAAAATATGCTTTGTAGAGCTTCAATATTTCTGGATGGCTGTCCAATCTTTTGCATCCTGCTTTCAGAAACTCTTGTGAATCTAATCAGAAGCATTTATAGCATCTGTAAGCAGCATTATGTGAAAGTTCTTTGCTCTTTAATTTTTTTATTTTCTGCTATAACCTTGTAAAGTGAGGGGGGGGAAACGCCCATATAGGTTTTGAGCCCCAAAGAGCAAATGCCAAACAAAGAGCTACTTCTCTGACAACAATTTACATTTTTAGCTATGTCCACATCTAAACAAAATGACAGTTCCCATGCCTGCTTGGCCACACTACCTACTTTTTTATTTCCTTGAACTTCTACATAAATTCTTGAAGTGACACCAAGATAATGGCTGATCTGTTCTGCAAGTTGCCTGCTGCTTGGGCAAGTGGCCATTTTCATTGAACAAACAGCAGTTTTATGGAATGTTATTTCTTCCTCACTGAAGAAAAACACAGAACAGCTGAAAATTGGAAGTGGGCCTTGAGAAACAGAGTTTCTGATATGAAATGCCTGGAAGACCCAGTCATGGAAGCACAAAAACAGTTTCGTGTTTTAAATTATTTTTAAAACACATTTTATTTTTCTAATGACACTCAAAATATGCCATTTATGAAAATACTTACATGTAAATGATTTGCCTAACATTGTTATATAAATAAAATCCTATAAAGAACATGTAGGATAATACCAGATATAACATACTTGTCACAGTAACAAGGTGTCAAGGCTCCTTCCCCACTCTGAACTTTAGGGTACAGATGTGGGGGCCTGCATGAAAACGTCTAAGCTTAACTACCAGCTTAGATCTGGTCCGCTGCTACCACTCCCAAATGGGCTAACTCCCTTCCCTGGGTAGCCTTGAGATACTTTTCCACCAACTCCCTGGTGAACACAGATCCAACCCCTTGGATCTTAAAACAAGGAGAAATTAACCATCCCCCCTCCTTTCTCCCACCAACTCCTGGTGGATCCAGATCCAACTCCCTTGGATCTAAAAACAAGGAAAATCAATCAGGTTCTTAAAAAGAAGGCTTTTAATAAAAGAAAAAGGTAAAAATCATCTCTGTAAAATCAGGATGGAAAATAACTTTACAGGGTAATCAAACTTAAAGAGCCCAGAGGAACCCCCTCTAGCCTTAGGTTCAAAGTTACAGCAAACAGAGGTAAACACCCTAGCAAAAAGTACATTTATAAGTTGAGAAAACAAAGATAAAACTAACACGCCTTGCCTGGCTGTACTTACAAGTTTGAAATATGAGAGACTTGTTCAGAAAGATATGGAGAGCATGGATTGATGTCTGGTCCCTCTTAGTCCCAAGAGCGAACTCCCCCCAAAACAAGGCGAACACACAAAAGCCTTCCCCCCCCCACCAAGATTTGAAAGTATCTTGTCCCCTTATTGGTGCTTTGGGTCAGGTGTCAGCCAGGTTACCTGAGCTTCTTAACCCTTTACAGGTAAAAGGATTTTGAAGTCTCTGGCCGGGAGGGATTTTATAGTATTGTACACAGGAGGGCTGTTACCCTTCCCTTTATAGTTATGACACAAGGCTAACTGCATTTCTGGCCCCTTCTGATCTCTTTGAGCTCACCTCCTCTCAGGTCTCAAGCCTCTAGCCATCACCTCTCTCTTGGGGTGGAATCACATGATTTCTTCATTCTCAGATCAGGCCTTAGCTGCAGTCCCCAGTGATCCACCATGATTAATTCAGCAGGCCTGACTTAGGCTCACACCCTGCATTTCTGTTCCCTCTGGGAGCAGTGACAGTAGTAAACAATGACCAGGCAGCTTCCTTAAAGCAAAATATTACCTATTTAGAACCAAAGCATTTAAGAAAAAACAGATCTTAAAAACTATAAAACATACTATGTATATGTCTAGCCTACCAGGCATTTATCATCTTTCACAAGGGGATGCTGGTGTTTCTAAGCTTTCTAAAGGTCTCCTGAGACTTCTAGGGTTTGCATAATTTGTTCCCTTAACTCTCAATCCATTTCTTTCCCCCTGCTTCATGGAGAGTCTCCTTTAAAAGCTGCTTAGTCTTTGTGATCACCCCGCGTCCCAGAGACCAAGTCATCTTTTAACTGTTTGTAGCTCTTTGATCTATTAATTCCTAGTCTTGGCAGAAAAAGGCTTGCAACTTTGTTGGAGAAGGATTCAAAGTCCTTGAAGTAGATAGCTTTGCCCATTGCCTTGCAAGTGTGTGCGGGAGTGTCCATATCTGGGCCATTGTCTTCGTCCTATTTATTTTTCCCCCCAGTCCCCACTTAAGCTAGCTCAGTACATTCATACAGGACAGTCTTAACCCAATTGCACAATAACTTCCCCTCACTGAGCAGCTCACATACAGTGTTCCTAAAATTGTCATCTCAATATTCTTAGATTATTACATATCAGTTCCTACAGTATTTATAGCATTAGTACATCTCAATATTCTTAGGTTATTACATAGCAGCTCCACTTTTGTTACAATGCTTACAAAATAAATTGGACCAGATTTTCAGCCTCTGTAAATTGGTGTAGCTCCATTGACTTCAATCAAGCTATGCTGATTGCACTATT